ACAGTTGAGTCCAATAACACATTGAGTTCTCTGTTGATCCCATAGATGGCGTCTTCGTAAAGGGAGATGTCGTCGAACTCAGCTACTCAAGCTTGACTTTTAAAGACAGTTAAGAGTCCAGGAACGTATTGAGTTCTCTGTTCATCCCATAGATGGCGTCATCTTGAGGGGAGATGTCATTGACCCCACTTACTCAAGCTTGTTTTTTAAGGACAATAGAGTCCAGCAACGCATTGACTTCTCTGTTTATCCCATAGATGGCATCTTCTTGAGGGGAGATCTCGTCGACCCCACTTACTCAAGCTTGTCTTTTAAGGACAATTAGAGTCCAGGAACGTATTGAGTTCTCTGTTTATCCCATAGATGGCGTCTTCGTAAAGGGAGATGTTGTCGAACTCAGCTACTCAGGCTTGTCTATTAAAGACAATTAGAGTCCAGGAACGTATTGAGTTCTCTGTTTATCCCATAGATGGCGTCTTCGTAAAGAGAGATGTCGTCGAACTCGGCTAATCAGGCTTGTCTTTTAAGGACAATCGAGTCCAGCAACGCATTGAGTTCTCTGTTTATCCCATAGATGGCGTCTTCTTGAGGGGAGATGTCGTCGACCCCACTTACTCAAGCTTGTCTCTTAAGGACAGTGTCATTCCAATAACGCATTGAGTTCTCTATTGATCCCATAGATGGCGTCTTCGTAAAGGGAGATGTCGAACTCAGCTACTCAGGCTTGTCTTTTGAGGACAATTAGAGTCCAGGAACGTATTGAGTTCTCCGTTTATTCCATAGATGACGTTCCTGGACTCTAATTGTCCTTAAAAGACAAGCCTTAGTAGCTGAGTTCGACGGCATCTCCATTTACGAAGACGCCATCTATGGGATAAACAGAGAACTCAATCCGTTGCTGGACTCAATTGTCCTTAAAAGACAAGCCTGAGTAGCTGAGTTCGACGACATCTCTCTTTACGAAGGCGCCATCTATGGGATCAATAGAGAACCAATAGATTTACTGGAATTAACTGAAGTGAATTTCAGTACATTTTTTCATAAACCTTGATATCTTGTTTTGTTCAAAAGTTGAGAGGGAGGGGCCCATTTACGTTTGCACTCTATACTATCATTTATTTGCTCAACTGAACTTGGTATGTTTCAGGACGTCAGATGGCTGAATTTCCTCTCGACCCTCCTCAATGTCAGATGCTGATCGTGTCCTCACAGATGGGTTGTACCGCCGAAATTTTGATTGTAGTCTCCATGTTGTCCGTCCCGTCGATTTTTTATCGGCCAAAAGGCAGAGAAGAGGAAGCCGACGGCGTCAGAGAAAAGTTTCAGGTTCCCGAAAGCGATCACTTGACGTTTCTCAACGTCTACAACCAGTGGAAGCAAAACAACTATTCTTCTCATTGGTGCAACGATCACTTCATACACATCAAAGCTATGCGGAAGGTTCGAGAGGTGCGCCAACAGTTGAAGGATATTGTGATTCAGCAGAAACTGGAAATTAAATCTTGCGGTTCCGATTGGGATGTCGTGAGAAAATGTATTTGTTCAGCTTATTTTCATCAAGCTGCAAGACTCAAAGGTGAGTTGCAACTATATTTTTTTCAATATTATGTGAAAGAGCATACCGGCATTTTGAGGAGTGAAAAAATTAAAGAAAAATGTTGTTCAAGAAGTACTAATATCATTTTTCATTATTAACTGTTGAACTACCTCCATCAAAACGTTTGAGAATCTATGAAAAACAAACGATTTCAATCATTTGATTTTTTGTGTTCACACTCATCCCAAACCTTAAACGTTAAAGTAAGTCATTCTTGAACTTTTTTTGGGAGTTCTCAGGTAAGAGATTTATTTCACAATTTTCGAAATAAATATAATACTTCATTAATTAAATGAATTCTCACGTATTTAACTGACAGTTAATGTACCACCCAGAACACCTGGTTGTTTTTGTGTTCCATGTCAACTGTCATTGTAAACTGACACTTTTTGTTTCATGGACAGTTTATACTGCCTGAATTTCCAGTATTTCCTTGTTAACAGTTCTATCTGGTGTTACTGCAGGGATCTCATTTAGGACCATTACTTTTCAACCTGTTTCTAAATAACTTGAATGATGTTATTCTCTCTAGTGAATTTCTTCTGTTTGCTTACAATCAGAAGACATTCAAAGTTTATTTATTTATTTCGTACACTATTCTACAGGATGAACCCAATTACAGAATAGGGAGTAACAGTGGCATTTACAAATATGAATTTACATAATATAATTTGTGAATCTATATAAAAAAAAATCAAAACAAAACTGTCAGCTAAGAAATGTCTTGTGATTTGTATAATCTGGCAGTTGAGTATATCTAGGACATGACTAACAGAATTAGAGGTTTCATACATTATATAAATTGGAGATTTATATCAGTGTTGAGATAAAATATGACACTATTTCTAGATGACCGTCTAGGAACCCAAAACTTAAACATATGTAACAGTTGAGAGCAGGTGATGATATTGTTTATGACCTTGAATAAAAAAAGAAATGAATAATATTTACGCCTTACCTCGAGAGTACAAGAATTGTGAGTTACAAGCAATTCATAATAGGGTATTCCTACAGTGGGATACGTGCCTTCAAGTTTAAAAGACATATATTTTGGGAAGTGCCTCTGTAGGGCTTCTAGTTGATTTATATGAACCTGATAGTAGGGACTCCACACGACAGATGCATATTCCAGCTTAGATCTAACAAAAGTGAAATAAAGTAATTTCAATGTTGAAGCTTTAAGTCTTTTGTATTTCCAACTAACATTCTATGCATGCGATAAGCTGCTGTTAGAGTAGTGTCAATATGTTTATTGAAAGAGAGGGATGAATCAAAAGTAACACCTAGATCAGTGAGTGTGTCAGGACGCTCCAGAACTTGATTGTTTATGATGTAGTTGTGTAAATTCAAGTTCGTTTTTAGTGAGTAAGACATTACATTACATTTGGATATGTTGATAGATAGATTATTCTTTCGACACCATGTAGCAACGTAATTTAAATTCAGGGCGAGACGTTTGCAATCATTAGAAAATGTTATATTATGATAGAGTTTCAAGTCATCTACGTATAAAAGGAAATTAAAATCAATCTCAGCTCCGATATCATTAATGAACATATTGAACAGTAGGGGTTCTAGATTTGATCCTTGTGGTACACCAGATGTGGCTATATATTCGATAGACTTGAGGCCATTAAGTTGGACGTACTGCTTACGGTTGTAAAAATAAGATTTCAAGAGGGTAATTAATTCATTGGATAACCCAAAAGTCGAAAGCTTGTTGAGCAGGATACTATGGTCAAGTCTGTCGAACGCTTTAATTCAATTTCAATTCAATTCTTTATTTATCCATTCAAGCAAATACAGCTATAGGGCAAGTCAAAAAACATATAGACATACAAAAAAGTACAGTGAGTGAAATGATAAAATAAAATAAATTATGTACATGCATAACAAAGATTGCAGACAAAATACAATTAACATAGGATAGTGAAATAAATAATACATGTTACAGGTTGTTCTTTAAAAAACTAATTCATAATAATCTTCTAGGGAGTAGGGACACAGATCAATTAGTATCTTTTTCACTTCAATAAGAAATTTCCGGTTTGAAAGGGATCTATATCTTTGTGGAAGTCGATTATAGTCTCAAGCCAAGTACAGTAGGTGAATTTAAGCTAATATTTGAGCGTCTGAAGGGAATGCAATATTTGCCTTTCTGTCTAGTATCATAATTGTGTAGTTCATCTACACGCATATGGTCGTCACAAGCTTTGTGTATATTCTTCAAAAGTTCTCAAATGAAAATACCACTAACTGTTAAAATCCTCATGTTTTTGAAGAGGTCACGACAACTATGGTTAAATGAGACTCTAGCAATACATCTAATAATGCGCTTTTGAGCCAGAAAAATATTTTGTGCATATGCTGATCCACCCCAGGCTGTTTTAGGAAAATCAGTGTAGATGACATCAGTCTGAGACTGACAATCAATACCCTCTGTGATTGAGTGATTGTTACAAGATTGGTATTCATGACTCATGTGATACTGAATTATGACAGTGCGATTTATCTAACTTTGTACGCTAGTGTGATATGAACTTATTGCAATTGCATATAGACAAATATGATAAATTTACTTTTTTCCAAAACAAATATACCATAAATGGTCCATATAAAATAAAGCAATCGGAACTGGAAACAACAAATACAATCAAAGATTTAGTACAAAATGGTTAAGGCTTTCGCCGTCAAGGTTTTCAATGTTACTATTTTCCGGGTTTGAGGGCTGTGGTTTTTTTGATGTGATGCCCAAGGATGATCATATAGCGAAACACATGTCGTGGTTTTGTAAAATTTCAAGTGGAAATCTCACATTGAAGTATGTTTTTTTTTAATACATTGAAATGGATTTCCATCAAGTATCAGTCACTTCCATCATATATGTGTGAAATATCATTTCAAGAGGGACAGAGAAAGAGGGGGGAGAGTTGAGATAAACGGAGAGGAGTGCTCCAAATTCCACATTCAAATGCAGTGATACTGAGACTCACTGTGCCACAATACTTGACTATGGTTGAAACTTTAAGAAAATCTGTCTATCTTCGTTTCAGGTATTGGTGAATACGTAAACTGCCGAACCGGAATGCCCTGCCACTTGCACCCCACCTCAGCTCTCTTCGGTCTTGGAAGCACCCCCGATTACGTGGTGTATCACGAACTCGTCATGACAGCTCGCGAATACATGCAGTGCGTAACTTCGGTGGACGGACATTGGCTGGCTGAACTGGGGCCGATGTTCTTCTCTGTGAAGGAAACGGGTAAGTCTGGAAGGGCTAAGAAGAAACAAGCTGCAGAGCATCTACTGGAGATGGAGAATCAGATGCAGTTGGCCCAGGAGGAGATGAAAGCTCGAAAGGAGGCTGCCGAAAAGAAAGAAGCTGCTCTTCACAAGGGGCAGGAAATTGTTAGCGCGGGGGCTACTCCAAGAAGGACGCCTGCAAGATTCGGGCTGTAGAAGTCTGTTGTTGGAAGGATATTGTACATAATATTTTTTTAATTAAATTATACGATTTTTCATTGAGTTTTTTTACTGTTTTTCAATTACAAGGCTTATTACCTTACCACATGAGAAAATACTCATCTGCCAGTTGAAACTATATTCAATAAATATAAATAAAAATATAATCACTTGTGAGATTTAGTTCTTCAGTTTGCATTTTTTGCAATTTTCATTGCAGGTTCATAATCTGCTGACCATTATTGGAATTAATATTCTTCTTAACTGGTAGAACTCTGTAAAATACGGAGATACAACATCTACGCCCATTCAGGTTCCATCAGGGGTACCGCAGGGATCCCATATGGGCCCACTGCTGTTCAATTTGTTTGTATCGGACATAAAGTTTGTTTTCAAATATTCAGAATTTCTTATGTTTGCTGATGATCTCAAGCCTCAAAAAGATCGAAGCCTTTACCATGTGGTGTAGAAATAATTTGTTAGAGGTAAACATTGATAAGTGTCAAATCATTAGGTTCACTAAAATTATAAGTCCAATATTCTGTGAATCTAAATTGAATAATATAGCTCTTAAAAGAGAAACATTTATTCGCGATCTGGGAGTTAAATTGGATAGCGAAATTAATTTTAAACTTCAAGTATCAGAAATTGTGGCAAAAAGTCTTAAAATGTTGGGTTTTGTGTTGAGAATTTCTACTGATTTGATGGGTGATCACTTCTCATTTGCAGATGATTTTGCACTGTTTTATTGAGAACAAAAATGAGAATTCATTAAAAATGAATATAAATAACGACATAAAAAAGTGTAACGAATCTAAAGCCGCCCCTGACCGATATGCTGGCCAACTCAGCGAACAAACACATGGCATCACCGCGAAAGAATGCAGTCGGGAATCGTCGGTAAAACTCTAGAACTGAACCGACTACAGATTGCTAGAAAGGACTGTTACCGGTATAAGCACGGCTTCCCGACCCAAGAGGGCAGTTCAGAAAGTGAATCGAGCGGCTGAACAAGGAATTCAAATAGTGGAAATAAATTAAGCGTTAGTTGCTAAGTGTTTTAAATAAATTAGTTTGTGATGGAAATAAATTTGTTTAAGACAGTTAAGTCGTTAATTTGTTATGAAAGGTTGAAAAAATGGTTGAATGTCCTCAATTTGATAAACAACTTAGAAAAGACAGTTTTGATGATTTTCGAGTAAAAAAAATACGAACAATATAAAACTAAATCTTAAAAATGAGAACAAATTAATCATCTAAGTTGAAAAATATAAATATTTAGCCTGATAATTGATGAAGATTTAAATTTTGAAAGTCATATGAATAAAAGTAAAGAATTGATAGTACCACTGGTGAGAGCAATCAGAAGAATACATTTTTCAAGTAGTCCTATACAAATTCTACTTTATGATGCTCATATTCTCTCATGAATCAGATATATCTTGCACTAAAAAGCAAAACATATAAGTTATCCCCCAATGAATAAAGATAATATTTAATAATAAACCATGGGGTACTCCATCTTTGGAATTATACAAAATGACTTATAATACGACTGTCGAAACATCTCCTGAAAAGTAATATCCAATTATTGAAAAATCTAAATTGCATGATCACAATACAAAAAGTTGCAGGTTATTGTCAATGTGTAGTCCAAGGAATTTTGTTACTACCTAATCATATCCGATATAAATTCAGCTCAAAAGTTTCCAAGTTTGTTTTGGATGTATTCAGCATCAGTATGTTTGGCTCATACCAAATTTTTATTTTTTCTATATCGAAACTGAGTCACTTGAATGGGGCAACATGATCTTTAAATTGTAACACGATCTGCAAACAATGTGAATTGTTCAGAAATATGGATACTGATAAATCATTAACGAATAAAGGACCCAGAACTGACCCCTGGAGGACACCCCGCACAATCACTTCACTTCCAGGTACACTTCTACCTACTGCAACTCTCTGGTTTCTGTCAATTAGGTATGACCTGAACCAATAAGTGCTATACCTCAAAACCCATGGATAGGTCAGGAATCACTAACAGTGTTTCTCCAAGAAATTTATCAATTTCTCAATTATTTTTGACAGTGTCGACAGAATCCTGATAGGTCTGAAGTTGAATTATAAGAAACGATGAATCATTCTAGAGAAGGTGAGGAACAAAAAAGGTGGTTATTAAAGTTAAGTAGAAAGCACAATACTGTACATATAATGTAGGTCAAAGTACTATAAGGTTGAGTTTGGTTTTCTGCATTTTAATTGATAAAGTCAGCATAAAATATGCAGGTAACAGAAATAAACAGGTAAAGGACCATAAATAATGAAATACATTTCAAGAAAAACCAAGAAAATGTAAAATTTGAGTCATTTTATAAAACTTAAAATAACTCTCAAAGTTCATTAGCACCATCAGAATCATGATCACTTTCATACCCAGGCTTACGGTAATTATTATTACCGCAGTGAGAACAGAATGGACAGTTTCTATTCACATTTATTTGCACATTAACATTGGCCGGTTTTGGAGCCGGTCTACCAAGATGTTTGAACTTGCGCCGGTGCTCCATATTAACTCTGTAGCAAGTAGCACCAAAAGGACAGGCAGGTCGATCGTCAGCAGAGTCACTGTCATAGTCTTCATCGCCGGGATGACTCAAGTTTGAACGATGCGTTGGATTTTTTCTGAAAGATTAATTTTAATTTCAGGAAATCAAATATACCTCGTTTGATAACTTATATCCTAGAGTCGTTGGGAAAACTTATGTAAAGATGGAACCAACAAAGTTGGGAATATTTAAAATATATTCTTTGAAAGACATATCTTTGTGGAGGTGTTCATGTTTCCTAATGAAAAAGGAGAAGAATTGTTTTCCGAAACCTCAACTATCTAAAGAAAACAGTGTATAGAAATTTTATTTTCTCAATTCGTAGGCAAAATTTATGAATATGTCAAGTTACTCAGTTATATGATGAAATTGGTCGGTACTTGAAGAAGTCATTGTATGGCGAAATTAGTGTTGCGTTTTTGTGAAACTGTTTATTGTGAAAATCTCACAAAAAAGCGTTTTTTGAATACGAAAGTTACCTAGTAATTGGACTCTTTAGTGGTTTACATTACGCAGTAACTTATTACTCTTTAGCAGTATCTCTATCGATTTAGCTTTATTAATTTCAGATTGTGGAATCAAAAGTAAAATAAAAACGTATGTTGTAGAACAAAAATTACCTTTCAATCAATCAATCAATGTACTTTATTTGTTTTAACTTTCTGTAAGTCTAGAAAGATACGCTCTTTCAGAATTTCTATATCACTTCCATGCCATAGTATGGTGGTATGGTCTGCAAAAATGGTAAAGGTTCCATGTATATCAATCTTACTAACGTCATTAATGTAAATAAGGAAAAGAATTGGACCAAGAACGGATCCTTGGGGAACTCCCCAGTTCATTTTTGAGATATCAGAGGAACAATTCGGCAATTTAACAATCTGATTTCGGTTCGAAAGATAGCTTGCAAACCAGTCGAGTGCCACTCCTCTGAATCCATAGCAATATAATTTTTTGAGCAGTACTCTGTGATTAACACAGAATCAGAATCAGAATATGCTTTATTGTCGAAAGAATACAATTCTTGTTGACAAAGTCAGTTGTCGTACATGGATGTATGTTAAAATATTGTTAAAATAACACTTACAGATGTATAAACACAAATAAACACAGGATCTGATCAAATTAGAGTAAATAATGGTACATATATATATACACCCATCCATACATACATATTCACATATTTGAGCCTTAGCAATGACAGATATGGATAATGAGTTCATTCAGATAATTTGGCTATAAAAAATTCATCCAAGCTATAGAAGGGATGATCAAAGAGTAAAACCTTCACACTACCTCTGAATCTATTATAATTCTTGATTTCCCTAATTCTTGCTGGAAGGTAGTTGTATATTTTCAAGCCGTTATATATAATAGAGTCCTTTACGAGGCGACTTTTGGGTATAGGCAACATAAGAGTCGAGTTTTGGGAAGATCGAGTATTGTAAGACGATGACGCTCCTTTACATAGATCACGGTGCTTATGAATCAAACAAGATGTTTCCAATATAAAAAAAGAGATCACTGTGAGGATTTGGTGGCACAGTTGATTGCTTTCGAAAAATCGCAGAATACTGCTCCAATAGCTCTTCCATCGTTTAGGCCAACATACAGTTCATTTAAAAAGTTGAAAGTTAAAGTTTAGATATGTAGAAGTTGCTTACAATATCTAGGGTCATGACAAGTTACCACGAAAAAAGTTTTTCCTCAAAAAGAACCCAAAAATAATCCCAAATCGAGGAATAACCTGTACAGAAGTAGTTCTTACCTGTAACAACTATGACCATACCAGCACCGATCCCTCCAAGTTTTATTCTTGCCACTGCTGCTGCTGGGACCATTGGTATCGCCATTCTGCAAACTATTATCCTCCTTATCTGGTGCTTCTTTTTTTATATTATCCACTGACAACAAAGTATTGGGTACAGCATGCGTCGAAGAATTGAAATTCACATTAGTTTCTGTATCATCAGGGCACGCTAAATTGATTGATTCTGAGGGGTTACAAGTCACATTCAAATTGTCACCACTTTGTTCCATGAATGAGTCAGATTCAGTTTCCACAACCTCTTCTTTCACTTTTACATGAACTACGTCGTATGGTACACTAGCATGAGGAGAAGTTTCTTGCTGGATGTTAATATCTTCGTTTACCAACTCATTTGAAGGTACTGAAGGTGCAGGTTTTTCAGCAGTTGTTTTTGATGGTTGATCACTGGATTCACAAGGTTGCTCATTACTTTGTATATTATCGCCGGACACAGAACGATCAGGTTCATTATTGTTCTGTGGACATTCTTTACTAACTTCAGAGTTGGAGGGTACATGTCTATTTTCTTCGCCATTTTGTAAGAGACTAGTAGAAGTACTTGCTCTGCCATAATCTTCGTTTATTATAATATTCAAACTTTTGATTAGGCCATTTGCGTCAATGTTCGAAACCTTTGCTGGGGTTACCGAAACAGTTTGATCATTGACGTTACAAGTTTTCAACCGTTTACATGTATCATTGCCCTCGTTATGGTCTAAGCCTCTTTTGAGTTCCTTGAAAGGATTTACCGATGTAGTATCCTGCGGAGTGATATCATTACTTGAAATTACTTTCACTTTGTACCAACACAAATCCATGAGGAAGGAAAATTGATCAGCATTTTGCAAAGTGACAGTGCAATCTTTTCTTACAACTTGAATCAAGTTCTCATTTGATGACTTGAAGTAACATGGATTCACATGAACCTGCAAAATGAGAGAAGGTCTCTTTATGAGTTGTCTTCAATTTTCAGTAGATATTGCCCATAATCACTACTTTATTGTCAATAGTAATTTGTGTATTGATGGATAATAAATGACTGGGTATTGGAGAAGCCAATTCACCAACCTCGTACATTTTCATTGAGTGAGAAACTTTCATTTTATCAAAACTAATTTTTTGCATAATATGAAAATGAGTGAAATATGTATCACAATAAGGAAACGACACTTGAGAAGTTCTGAGAATAATGCGATATATTTTTGGTATATGAGCTTTAATCTTTACTGTACATCTTGCTTACCGCTGTGAGAGTGACTCCATCCGCCCTAACTTGGATTAGAGCATGTTTCCTAGACACCCTCTTATCATGGCACTGAAATACATAATTAGAAGAACATAAAATATATTTGTCCAACTCATATTAGCTTTAGAAAAAATCTTATTTAATAATGCATATAATTCAATAATTAAAAGATTTGTCGCAGCGATGTGAGATCATAAAAACAAAATTCTAAGCGTGAGGGCAACGAGAAAAGGATTATACACATTGTGTGCCACACTCTGCCTCAATATTGTGTCAGATTTAGATTGAGGATGATTTAAATAAAATAGCTTGAGACTCACCAAAATCAAGTTACAGTGTGACTATAACCTACTATCATTCAATATAAAATACATTGGATCACCAATCATCTGAATCAGTAGGGACCAACCGTAGTCCGGAAAATCAAATATTCGAATAGTTTGGGACAATAACCTAAAATGATTCAAGTGAATAAAAACAATAAACCGTCTGAACGGCAACCCGCAGAAGTCAAACCTTGTGCAAGACAAGGATTAACGAGGTTAACGTGCTATTAAAGGTTGGACAATAAGCAGTGAAAATTGATCGTCCAGTCGTAGGGCTTGAACCACCGTTTCACATAGTGGTCAACCGAATGAGTGGTTCATCTACTTATGGTTTATATGGTAGGTAGCCTGAGCTTGGGATCGAAGATGAATGAAAATAAACAGTTTCTTATAGAATTGAAACTTTCGTGATGCTTAAGCTTTTACCCATCAAACTGACAACTGCTTGGTAACAACATACAGAATGTTTTGACGTTAAATATAAATCATATGTAAGTAACAGTAAACGTCGTAAAGTTTCCTGCTGATGTTAGTCAGTTATTATGTTAGTAAAACACTGACATAATGGTGTACTTACACCGGAAAGTTTATCTCTTCCAACAAAATGTTCTCCATCATATAGGGTGCTTACAGCATTGGCCTCCTCAGAATCTTCAGGTTTATATATTTTCAAAATGGTCATATTATATAAAAGACAAACCCACTATTAATTTCAATGGCTATGAAAACAGAAATTTGACCTGTTGATTCGATTATTTTTTTAATTTCTTATCTATATTTAAATTGAGGATTGAGGTTGACTTCTACTTCTTTTTTGAACTTACTGGCCTCAGTTGCTTGAAGCGACCATTTGGAAAAAGTATTAGAGGGCGAATGAAAAAGTATACCCGCACCCTTTCCAGTATTGTGTTTATAGTTTCTATGGAATTATTAATTACGATTTGAATGTAAGTAAAAATGATCGAGTGACAAGAAGTGAGCATTAAAGACAATGTGACAATGTATCGTACTGTGTTAGGAATCACACGTTGAAAGGTAAGACCTCGTTATTCCTTAGCTCGCACAAGTTTCTCAACTTCTGAGAGTTGTCGTTCGTATGGGGGCGACATCTGATTAACGGAAAAACTGATTTTAACAGATTTTTAAACAGAAAAGGATTTCATTTGGAGCACATGTAATTTTTCTGAGTTGGCTACAACTATGCAGATTCAATATAAATTTGCCATCTCCATACCCACAGATACCTCAGAATAAGAGAAGTAATAACTTCAAGACGTTCAGAATAACTATGATAAGATAATATTGAAATCTTGAATTCAGAATTGTTTTTTTTCCTCAATGAACTTCTACATGGGTGATATATTGAATCCATGTTATGTAATGTGCATGGAGAATTTATTAGGGTTTAGCCTGAAAGCAAATATTGTAGTGTCAATGTAATAAGAGTTCAACTAAGTCGTTTATTTAGATGTAATTACTGAAGAATATTTGTTATAACAATTTATGTAGAATGATAAAAACTATTATTATCATATTTATTTCCTGTGATATGAACTTAGGTCATTATTATTATACATCGGAGATCTCATGCTAACTCTCAATAAACGTAATAGAAAAAACACCAAAAAACAATTAACACTGAAGAATATTTCTTGAATTCACTAATGAGGAGACCTCCAATGGATCAGATGGATTCTTTTATTGGTCCATTCGAACCGTTAGCGCATTTTTATTGGTTGAAGCAATATATCAGAATTATTTTGTTGGATTCAGAACTTACTAAACAAATACGTGACGTCATTGAAAGGATTTCCTCTTACGTCAGGTACGCTCTTGTCAAAATTCGGCTCTATTTCGTAACCCCTCCTATATACGAACCCTACGTATTGGTGATCTTTTAGATTTTATTCACAGAGTATTGAAATTCTGTGATCTGCGATTTCAGTTTTGTGTTCATGATTGTTATTGATATATTTCTTGTTGTTTTTATGTGTTTTTCAATACGAAATGGCTGCCCCAAATAGAGGAGAGGCTGTTCAAAAACAAATCCAACAAGATTGGGTCAACAGGGAATACATAGAGATAATCACAATAAGCATAAAGAAAATAACTGACTTTTTGAATTCTTTTGGTAAGCTCCATCCCACTATGATGGATGACTTCTCTAATTATATTTTGTATTTGCAGACTTGTCTTGCCGATCAAAACTTGCTGGATTGAATGAGAAACTAACAATTCTAGAGAGAAAAATCGATTACTTGGAAGCTTGTGTGAGTAATTCTGAAACGTTTCAAACTTGAAGGTCTAATGTTATATTAACTTTCAAGGTGACCAAAGGTGAAACGCTGCCCTAATAAAGTTCTTGAAATGTTACTCAAAGGTATTTTTTCGAAGCCTTCGTCCTTACAATGCCAGCGAAGCCTTTTCTATTGGATAAATTTGCAGTTCAATGCTTTAGATGAACAGCGCCAAAATAAGCTTGGCTCGGACCGTACCTGTGCTGAATGGATTTTACGTAATGGAGGAACAATTAAGTGGGTGAATTCTAGTGATGTATTAACGGATTACAATGAATTGCCTAAGGAGGGTTCGGTGCGCCGTTTGCAAGAAGTGGACGCAACCAATACCAACATCATGGTTAATGGTTTCGAACATTTCAGAGGATGCGATAATTTAACCAAACTAGTGTTGAATAGATGTTATTATGTGGAAGATAAGGCTTTAGCGGAGCTTCATCATTTGAAAAATTCTTTGCTGTTTTTGCAAGTAAGCAGTTGTCCGAATGTGACGGACAAAGGGCTTATTGGTTTGAGTGTTTTGAAAAATCTGAAAGACTTAGTTTTGTATGATTTGCAGTCTGTAAAAGATTTGGAAAAAGCCGTTGGAGCATTGAAAAGTGATTTACCTAGATGTAATGTAAGGACTGAAGAATATAAATGATTTAGAAAAACACGTATTTTTTTATTAACTATAATTTAGGAATCATCCTTCAGCATATAAATACAATGAAAAAATAAAAAATTTTAATAATTTTTTGGTAATGAACGTATGGAATGTGTTTCCGTCGCTACTGTTCATCTAAATATAGTGACTTGAATAATTTTCTCCATGATTTGGAAGTAGTCAAGAAACGAGACAAAGCTGAAATTCAGAGCTATAGACCTATAGTATCCAAGCTGTCTTCTTGAATATTTCAGCTGCTATTAAATAAACTGCTACAGACTTTTTACCGAATATATCAATATATTAATGAACGAACAATTTGGATTGAAAAATGGTAAATCCATAACTTCAGCAATCAACTAGTTATACAAACATACAATTGAGGTCTTTGAAAATGATCAGTTTGTGGAATCAATCTTCTGTGATCCAAATAGCTCATTGTATACCTCATGAAATATTGTTACATAAACTTGAATACTATGGTCTTGATCATATGAGCTTGATTATAATGCCGAGTTATCCAGATAATCGTAGACAGATCACATGCTACACTGTTAAATATTCAGAAGAAATAAATAAACATGAAGTCTCAAAAAGTTCCATTTTGGTACTGCTACTATTTTTAATACATATATATGACATGAAAACAGCTCTACCACATTGCTCTCTTCTACAACTCTATGCTGATGATACCACTTCTACAAACAGTAATGATAACATGAATAATTTAGAATCCGAAATTAGTAAAGCAATGTCTGATGCAACAATCTACTGGCTACAGCTGAAAAACATAATTTGAATGTTAATATAACTGACAGGATAACATTTTCTATGAAAAAATATTTGACCAGTAATGCGTTTTATACTTATGATGTTTATCTCGGCAGCAACTTCATGATTGACATAAATGACATTCTGTTTTATTATATAACATCATTTTGAATGGTAAAGTTTCTAAATGTAGGTATTTTAGCTTTTTTACTTTATTTTATTCATGTTCTTGACTTGTGTAAAACTCGAAGTTTAACAGCACCGATAACTTTTTGTAGTTCTTGATGGGAATTTCAATAATTACTCCATTGGAAATGCTTGATCTGATGGATATGTCACAGCTCATCAACTCTTCTGATCTCAAAAAATAATGTACTGAGTGATTATACCAGATATGATCCAAGAACGAAAAAATACATGTACCTATTGCCAATATACTTACGAGTATTGTTAGGAATCGCATGTTGAAAAGCAAGACCTCGCTAATCCATAGCACGCACAAGTTTCTACTTCTGAGCGAGTTATCGTTCGTAAGGGGCGACAGCTGGTAAAAAAACATTTTTTGGTATTGCAGATTGGTATTGCATTTGGAGTTTAGACAGGCATGTCAGAGCATATGCGACAATTCAAAAACGTTCTTGGGAAAGACTCAAAATGCCCAAGAAGGTTCTGAGACGCAAACAGCAGCATTGAATATTTTCAAGAGGAATTACAGCTGTTCGACAGGATCACTGATTACTGCGATGGTCATTTTCCCGTGGTTAACAAAGTTGACAGCAAAAAACCTTTCACAAAATTTTTCAATGATGCCCTAGAAAAAAGTGTAACACAATCCGCTTTGAAAACTTTTAGGAGAAAACGTCGACATTGTACAGAACAAACAAAAAAGGTAATTTCCTACATATACAAACACATACTTGATACCACTATTTTTAGGTAGGTATATTAAAAAATTATCCTTTGGTTCACTCTATCAATTTATCGAATCGTAATATTGTCTTTATCATAATAGGAAATCAACTAGCAGAGATACCCACCTGAAAAAATCGAAACAATTTTTTTCTGATAAACTTTATTGAAGAAATACAAAAACCATTTTTAACAATATTCAAATTGCATTTACACATTACATTTTTTCATCTAGTTGAAAAATTTCATTTTAATTTTCTTATGTTTGTTCGTCAATTTCTCCTCGAGCTAGTTACTGTCAAAACATTTATGTCAACTTTATTAGTCTCTTTCCAATCGCAATTTTTAATATATTCAACACGTCTATAACTTTGTGTTTCCCTTAGTCTTGTCATGTGATTCTATGCCCGTCAAACTTTTCAATTATTTGTTCTGTCAATCTGTCATTGTTGTAACCGTCTTTCATTTTCTGTCATATAATGTGATTCTTTGCACATTTTTTGACCGTCGGTCTCAAGGAATGGACAGATTAGAAGTTAGGTTAGTTTCCGTTAGGTTAGGTTAGGTTAGGTTAGGATAGGTTAGGTTAGGTTAAAGTTAGGTAATAGGTTATGTTAGTTTTCAATAAATAGAATGTTTTTAACAAGCCGTATTCCATCATAATATAAATATTTGAAAATTAATTTCTTATAGTAAGTTAATATTGCTATTTTATTATGACTCATTTATATTCTCCACTTAAGCTGTCAGTTATATAGAAACGGAAAAACTAAGCAGTTGATAGAAAGATACATTCGCAAGAATCATTAAATGAGGATATCGGTAATGTTTCCAAACGTAAATGTTAATTAAAAGGAAGCTTATGCAGTAGAAAGTTGACAGACTTTGAAGTTGTAAGTAGTCAGTCTATTGATATTCAACTATGCGTCTGATTTCAAGTATTAGTTTAAGTTCAGTTTGTCGAAAGTTTTTCTTCTTTTGGTGGATTCTTCGTCTGGTATATAACAGTCAGATGGTCTGTGTATGTAGATGAGAATGTTTCTATGTTCCGTCATTGGTGAGATATCAAACTATTGAAAAAAGAAGTCTCATGTGTTGGATTTTGCAAGAGTGTTCTACTTAATGTATAGTTCCCAAAATGTATTTTGTGAACACTGTTGAAATAAATAATATATAAATAATAATAAATTAATAGATAGTCCTAATGGAATCTAGTTGGCTCCAAGACAGTTTTGTATCTTACGCTGTTCTGATTCCATCATACCCGGCATCTGTTTTTATAGGAATTTTCATAGTGACAAAGTACGACTTACTACCTTGTCGTATCTTCATGGCATGTTGGATTTAGCTTTCCGCAGTCATCTATCGTCGTAATCGTTTCATTTTGCTTGTATTTTTGGTAGGAGTCATCACTGGAAACACATTGGACACTTATTTTTATATACACATTCAGAGATGAGTAAATTATAACGTATAGGAAAGCAAAGGTTGGTTTCAAAAACAAGTGGAAATTTACTTATCCAGATACAGTAATGTGGCACTAGAGTGCCGCCAAGATTCAGCCAAAGCCTAGGTAGATAATAACATCCTGAGGTGGGTTAAAGGGCACGACATGAGTAAAGGTAATCGCATTGCCGACTCTTTAGGCAAGAAAGCGGCTGGACTAAGAATTTTAAGACCCAGTGGCACCTACGGCCTGATGCGGAACTAGCCAAACGTCACACCCATTCTTAATCCTTAAAGATATGGGATGAAATCTTGCTAGGATCACCCTGGGCGACCCTGGGAAGCTGGCGCCGAAGAAATATCTGGCGATGACCAGGAAAAATCTACGCTTAACAGTAGGATTTCTGACTGGCCACTGCCAAATAAGAAAACACCTCCACAATATGAGGCTAGTGGACATACCACTATGCAGGATGTGTGAACAGAAAGATGAAACTGTCAGGCATGTCCTAGGTGAATGTCCGGAGTATCGTCAATAAGAGAGTGTGTGTTCGGCGAGTCTTGGCCTTCACCTGTCGATATAAAGTCTATGTCTCCCAGAGACCTGTCCACCTTCCTGGAAAGGACAGGATGGACGATAACCTAGGAGGACAACTCCTTGGGAGGATGTATAATGGGTTACATGTGGCCTCACCCTCGCTACTTTACAGACAGTAATGAATAAAGGAAAATGCGTATTTTGAAATAATAGAAGTGAAATGATTTGGTAAATATGCTCCAATTGTGGATCAGTAATGATTTGAAACTATAAATAATTGGTTGATAACCATATTGCTGATTTATGCTTCAAAATCACTCTGATTTATTACATCTTGCTTGTTTTACCAAGATTTCATAACAGATTACTGTAATAATATAACGGATGAACATGTTGAAGATGTAAGACTTCTCAGCACTGTGTAAGCAATAGGTGAAGAGTGCAATGGCAAAAGATGAGGTTCCATTTTAACAGTCTCTGATAAAACTGAATCTCAGGCGTTCTTTTTGTGCACAAAACAGTATTCAATTCGTGTTATAAAGTGATAAGAATAATATTGCGATAATCACAAAAGACAGTGAACAGGAGAAAACTTTAAACTCTGAAACGCTGGAGAGAGAAGAGGAAACCTCAATATTCTTTCTAGTCTCATGGTTCTCCAGCTGTGTAACGTATTTTCAAATGTGGAACTAATTGATTTTCTCCTGAACCTTTGGACGTGTTGATATTTATGGTACTAGCCAACATATGCCACCGAAATTCCAATTCTGACAAAATATGGAGCCTCATAGTTTTTTCACTGGGGTTCACTGTGGGTGATGGATTCAATAATGACGGTATGCATGAAGTCTTGAAATCAATACGACAAAACAACAGAGCGAGTACTAGATTGATAAGAAAAAAGAAGAACAGAATCAACATCAATAGGAAAAGTAAAGAAGACGAAAAATAAAAAGGAAGATGAACACTTAGAAATGCCTTAAGAATAACTTACCAATGATTAAGCTAATTTTCTTGAGCGAAACAATCGAAGGATTCGAAAAGAGGAAGGCAAAACTTGGTTTGAAGTGTTCATAAGGAGCGAATTAAGAGGAACACCTGTTGAATAAAGTCAACGAATGGGTCCTGAAAGAGATGAAAGAATGAAACGAAGAGGTGACCAATTCCATTATACCCACATGGTCAGCCACTAGATACCTCTTAAGTATGTGTTCAAATTCATATTAAACATACTTAACTGACATCGTAACATTATCCAAGATACCTTAGTTTTGAGATTCGAAAGAAATTTTCGACGTTTTAAGAACACATGGGCTGCAGTAGCTAATGAAAAAAGCTGTAATGCATATTGCAATGACATTTAAGTTTGTGACACATATGTGTGAGAGGAGAGGTTGAGTGGGATGTCGGTTTCCTTAGCACTGGAGGAAAATCAATAGATTCGAGCAGATAGTTTTTAGGATGAGCTCATTATTGGAGGAAAGAGAACATCCTTAGGAAAACTTGAAAACAACCGTGACATTTGCAGGTGTATTTTTTAACGATGAAAATCTACTCTTAAGAAAACATTTCACCTACTGAAAAATTTGGTTGTGTTCGTTATTATTTCGAAAACAGATACCTACTTACCTCAATAAATCATAGGCAGCTTTGAGTATGTAGCTTTGCCTGACATTAAACTCCGCCTCGCAAACAAATTTTCTCTTACATTCGTCACTGCTCAAGTGCATGTCTCTAAATATCACGTCAGTTGTGTTCAACCTTGAAAAAATATTGTATTACTTCATGAACTCAGAATATTGGGGAGCTATATACTTTCTGACAATACGTGAAAAGGTGCTTAGACTTTCGAAAATACCCCCACCATTTCCGTCATCGCTTCTGCCGGTGTTTCCAGTACGGGAGGGGTCATAACCGTCACCTGGAGCACTAGCTCCATAATTTTCTGCTGGATAGGAGTCCGGAGGTGAAAAATCCTGCGTGAAATCACTTCCAGGATGGTGGTCAATCGAAAATTCCGGGAAAGAACCACTGGAGTAAGATTTACCATACGGTCCTGAGTATTCGAATGACTCGTGATGGGAAGGTGCGTATACTATTTTTTCATGGTGATCGTCGTGATAGTAATTTTCTGAAATGAAGAATAATCATCTATTACTGTGCTTTATGTATATAATCTAACGAATATATATCGGTCAGCGAACAAACACCGCAAAAGGAATGCAGTCAGCAACCGCCGATTAAACTCTAGTTGAGTACCGAAACGACTATAGAATTCTAAAACGATCGTTACCGATATATAAGGCCGGCTTCTCGTCCCAAGAGGGCAGTGGAGTTCAGAAAGTGAATCGAGTGTTTGAACAAAGAATTCAAACAGTGGAAATAAATTAAGCGTTGTTGCTCAGTGTTGTAAATAAATTAGTTTGCGATAGTGAAATATTGTTGGAAATAAATTTGTTTACGACAGTTAATTCTTTGATTTGTTACAATAATATTATGATTATTCATACAGGAGTACAATACCGATAAGAAAAACATTTAAAGCTTTCCGAGAACCTGTGTGGAATTGAAGATAGATTTTGGAATTGTAGGTTATATTTGCTATTCGTGTTGAATCCTGAATGATAATTCAGACGGTTAAAATAGCATAATGTGTAACAGTAAAGCGTCGACCGACGCTTAATTTTATTCAAAGAATGCATAAAGTTAAGCCGAATCAGTGCATGTGTTGAAATCTATACTTTTTCTATGACTTTGGAATGGTAATAAAAAACGGGCGCTTTCATTACAATTTTAAACATTCATTTTCTGTGATGATTATCAACCAATCAATTTGATGTGTAATATTGGATGGAGACTGAATACTTGAAGCGTGTATTTTGAATAGAGTTCTCAATATAACCTTCCGCTACGGTGGATGATTTCCAACCACCGTTTTTCCTGACACTCAACAAATCCGCTCCATACTCAACTAAAAGAAAGCAGCAATCCTGTATATTTAACGGGATTCGTGAGAAATTCGTCGGGTCTCATGTGGTTTTAAACCATATTGGAAAGGTCGAAAAGCTTGAAAAGCGGGTGCCTCATGATTTGATCAATTGACAGAAATTTTCACGTTTAAAGGATGTTCTTTATTGCTTTTGCGCAACCAAAACGATCCTTTTTTTAATCGGATCGTCACCTGTGTGATGAAAAGAGCCACATAGGCACTTCTCAAGGCAGAAACCCACCAAAAGAACATGGTTATTGTATGGTTGTCAGTGATTCAATATAATTTTCTGCAACCGGGCCAAACCATCACAGCAGGGTCCTATTATCCCTTGAGGGGAAATCGATGAAATGTACCAAAAATTGCGTCAGCATGACAACGCCCATCCGCACGTTTAACAAATCACCGTCCAAAAATTGATTGAATTGTGCGTCGTTCTGACACATCCACCATATTACCCAGACCTCATGCTAACCGAATACCATATTTTCAAGCAGTTCGATAACTTTCTCACCGATAGAACCTTGGCCAATCAGGACGAGATGAAATCGGCTTTTGTTGACTTCATCGAATCCTGAGTTCATAATTTATATGCTGACCGAGTTAAAAGACTTGTGTTAGGTTGGCAAAAGTATAGCGCTGATTTCGATTGAATTGAATAAGTATTTACTATGATATTACAGGTTGAAGGAGACTCATAGAAACGGCAGAAAACTTTTGAAACAACCTAGTATATGAATGATATCTGTTTTAATTACATAAAGAATGTTTGTAGTACAAACTCAATGGGAAAGTGGTCTTATTCAATGTTAGTGTCAAAGTAGTTGTTTCAGTTTGTTACTGAAAGAAATTTCCGCTATAGTTATTTTCTTTCTTCCTTTCTTTGGAGGTTTCCCACATTGTTTGTTGAATGACGGAGAAATAGGAACAGGAAAAGTTCTTTCCCCAATAATAATGATACTTTGGTACATAGAAAAACATTTGTGATAGTTTACTATATGGAGCAAAACTTACTTTTCATATATTCAGCTAGTTTGATGGCAGCGAACACTTTTCCAAAAAATATCGAGAATGCCCAAATGGTTCCAAGTACAAGGAAAAACTTTACCTTCAACGCCAAGAATAGTAAATAATGAAACTCGTGAACTGAAATAAAGTTATTTTTCAAAACCGCTACAATTTTTTTTTCCGTTTTCACTCACAGAATAGATGTTTATGATGGTATTTCTTTTTCCTTTCAGTTGATGTGTCACAGTAGCAAAGAGCTATCAAACAAAAAAACACAATCGATATTTTGAACGATAACATGGTAGTTAATGCTGTAACGATTCAAACTGAAGTTGATTAATTTTCATATCTTACTTATATACCTCGTTAGGAGTAGCAAAGAAAAGCGAACGGTTGTCTATTGATTTGTTGATTATCACCTCTTGTGGGACTTTTAGTTTCATTTTTGTCGTCAGTGAAAACTGAATTCGGAACCAGGTTAATGATTAATCCAAACATTTGTGATGATTTCTCAAATCAGTTTTCTTGGGAATTGATGTTTTCACGCTTTTTCTTATTAACGAAAGATTCATTTGAAATTGATAGAATCAAGAGTAAAAAAAATAATTACGAAGATACCTCTTGTACAAACATTTTTCAGAAAAGAGGACCTTCATTCCTTCGAATCTAACATTAAAAAGAGAGACCTCTTTGTAACAGATTCTATCGAAACAGATAGAACAGGAAATTCTACAGAGATAGCTTTAATGACAAGCTCATTCCGTTTTCTAGTCAAGTTTGTATATATTCTAAAGACTTTGATTTTATTTACAATAAAAGTTTGCAACACTTTATTTTAAACGCATGAGAAATATTTCATTGAAATGGAGATATGTGAAATATCTCACAATGAATTTTAGCGCAATAATATATGCTTATGAAAAGAGTATTTTTTGTAAAAAGAATAATATCTTGAAAAACCAACGAAATGTTGTTTTTCAAAGACTTTCAATTTTTACATAGTAGAAGTTTGCAACACTTTATTACTTCATTTTGAACAACTGGAAAATATTTCAATGAAATTGAGATATGTTAAATATCACGTAGCCAGGTACGTGACTTTAAGGTTTGACCTTGAAGGACGTTTTACGACCTTGCGCTAGGTTCATGCTGTATGACTTCGAACGTGGAATTTGAGTTTGAGATTCGAGACCACCCCTGGCACGTGATTTGAGGTTTGATATTGAAGGACACCTCACGACCTTGAGATATATGAATGCCATATGACCTTGAACATGTAGTTTGACCTTTAGGGACTGTCTCCGGTACGTGACCTTGATGTTCGACTTTGGCTGAATACTGCTTTGAAATTCAGATGCAAATTTGATCAGAAATCATTAGTTCTGGATTCATATGATTGAAATTGATCCCCAGTGGATTTTCCTTGTACTGAAATCATGTGAAAATTTCCATTTATTTTTATGAAAAAGTCCCGCCACTTTGCAACAAACTGCCCAAGAAGCGTGATGAATAAATTCATGAATTGAATATGAGTTACCCGATAACAAACTTTGGTAATAATACAGGGTGGGCCATGAATTAGTGTACATTAAAAAACAGTGTGCAATCCAAACACAAGTGGTACGGCCGCTTCCCAGATTCTCAGAAATTTATTGATTGTTTTCATCTGATAATTTTTGATTGGTATTGGCAATTCTAATTTTGTTTGGAAGTCATTTGTTTGCATATCCTTCGGTGACATTGGTAGACTTCCAGCCTCTGTGTCTCTTTAAATTTGTGATGTTTCCACCATAATCAACAAATAACATCGCTGAATTTTGACAAATGCCTGTGTATTTTTTGAAATTGGGTAAATTTCAAAATTCTGTGATTCTTAATCCGAGATTCTCAAAAATGTGAATACCAACAGGGTGAATCGAACATTTTTCTCTATTTGTAATTCATGACTAATCTGTTATGTGGAGTATGGGATTTACCCCTTATTGACCACTATAAGTGGCTTAAGAGATGTTCCCAAAAAAGCTAATTTCTAGGAGAGACGACATCCAGTGGCCACTCAAGAGTCCTGATTTATCACCAACAGATTTCCTTTTATTAGGATATTTGAAGAATTCTCACTAGATGATATGTCTGCAAACACACGATATCTTTGCTCAAGAGTTTTCGAGAGTTTTCCTGCTTATCTAGAGGAATGCCAAAGTCAGATATTATTTTCATAACATTAAGTTCCATTTGGCTATTTTATAAATAAATGAGTCGTATGGTTTTCATACATTAGCAGTTGGATAGTTCATGGTCGACCCTGTAAATTGTGATAATAATATTTTAAGGAATGTGTTCGTCTCTGAAAACGAATTGAGAATTAGAATTGTTAAGTAGCAGATAATTAGTATCGCACCGTAGCAGGAATACGATACGGTGAATTGAATAACGTGCTGAAAGTGGCTTTCTCAACGTTATATATAGTTCAATGCTGGGTGTAAAATTATCCGCTGCTATTTTTGTAAATTTAATTGTTGGTTTCGTTTCACAAAGTTGTAGAGAATACTCACAAACCGTAAGTAACCGTAAGAAAATACAACAGATATTTTCTCTGTGGGGCAACGATAAAGACGAATGACGCCCTCTTCAATAATTTTGTGTGAAAAGTAGAGTATTGAGACAATAAGGATAGGCGAAGATCTTGTATTGTTCAAATTCAAGTATAATTTCATTTGCATCAAACTTGTAGCTGGGAGATATGTTTCGAATTGTACGAGTATTACAATTATTAGTTTTGTATACTTCAAGTCCTGCCTAAAAAGTTTTTGCCTGCGACTTGGTTTGCGTGAATTTACATGTACACAATCAATCTTGATTGTGAACGATTCAGTGGACAACGATCAAAATCATAAAACGAATCCGATTCTGAACGTTTTTTTATTGTTCAAAAGTCGGTTATTGTGCCTCAACAGTTTTAGTTAGACATAAAGCTTCGCGGATTTTTTCGTGGTTAATGAATTGTGTTTCGATAGTTTGATAATATTTGTACAATATCAATATAAATATCAAATCAATATCAATATCGATATCAATATCAATATCAATATCAATATCAATATCAATATCAATATCAATATCAATATCAATATCAATATCAATATCAATATCAATATCAATATCAATATCAATACCGAAAGTGAACATATTAAATTTGAATTATTTCAGAAAAAAGCTCTGTGAAAACTAAATTTAAACTGTTACATTGTTAGTTTTTGTTTTTCAGTGTGCTGATTCTGCTGCATGTTGTGGAGGTTGCTGTTTGCAAGGGATTTGTAGGGACAGTAAGTGAAATGATATTTCAGTTTTAATGCGAGCAAGAAAGTATTGAGCTTTGATGAAAAATTGGAAAAACAATTGATGAAAATTGAAAAAACGTCCTATGGACGTATGTCCTAAACGCCTTAACTTTTGAGATACAGGGTGGCAAAGTTTTCAAAAATAATCAGTTTTTTAATAATAACTGAGATAATTTTGTAGACATCTTTGGCATATTTGGTACATATGTTCCATGCCTCAAGGCGCAT